GGACCAAAGGCCCTTTGACTGAAGAGGGGAGGAGTCCCAGCTGGTTGGGACCTCCACAGAGAACATCTGCTCCCTCAGACCTCCTGATCCAGATGGAATGTTGAGTGAAGTCATCTAACCCTCTCATATCTCTCCATCATGTGTTTCTATGTTTCCAGGACACGCCATGGAGAAACCCTCAAAGGATCCTCTGACTTTATCTCCAGGTTGTAAGATGGAAGATGAGGACATCACAGCAGATTGTGCGGGAGAAGAGACAATGAGCTCAGCTATGGATGGTGGACTTCACAGTGTGGATAGAGCATGGAATCCCTCTGACTCTGAGCAACCTCGTCCTGTGGGGGATGGTGCTGGAATTCAGGGGGAGAAGACATTTTCCTGCCCTGAGTGCGGGGAAAGTTTTACCTCTGATTTTACTCTTAATGAACATCAGAAATCTCACATGGGGAAGAAGCCGTATTCCTGTCCTGAGTGCGGGAAAAGTTATTCATGGAAATCAGTACTTGTTATACATCAGAGGTCTCACACGGGTGAGAAGCCGTATGCTTGCTCTGAGTGCGGGAAATGTTTCTTCAAGCAGACCTATCTTAAGACACATCAGAGGTCTCACACGTGTGAGAAGCCGTATGCTTGCTCTGAGTGCGGCAAATGTTTTTCGCAGCAGACCCATCTTAAGACACATCAGAGATCTCACACGGGTGAGAAGCCGTATGCTTGCTCTGAGTGCAGCGAATGTTTCTTGCAACAAATCAGTCTTAAAATACACCAGAGATCTCACACGGGTGAGAAGCCGTATGCTTGCTCTGAGTGCGGGAAATGTTTTTCCAGGCAGATCAATCTTAAGACACATCAGAGGACTCACACGGGTGAGAAGCCTTATGCTTGCTCTGAGTGCGGCAAATGTTTTTCCAGGCAGAACAATCTTAAGACACATCAGAGGACTCACACTGGTGAGAAGCCGTATGCTTGCTCTGAGTGCAGCAAATGTTTTTCCAAGCAGACCCATCTTAAAACACATCAGAGGTCTCACACGGGTGAGAAGCCGTATGCTTGCTCTGAGTGCGGGAAACGTTTTTTGCGGCAGATCAGTCTTAAAACACATCAGAGGTCTCACACGGGTGAGAAGCCTTATGTTTGCTCTGAGTGCGGCAAAGGTTTTTCGCAGCTGTGCCATCTTATTAGACATCAGAGGTCTCACACACGGTTGAAGTTGTAGATATGACTCGTGGATGAAGAGAAGGGGAGATCAGACTACATGACGGGACTGACCATGTCACTGCAGTAGTCATCAGTCTGCACAGGCAGCTTCATGGACTCTGGAGAGCCCCCTGCTGGACGAAAGTGGAAGATATGACGTCTTCAGACGGAACATTTCACATTTCCCTGATAACAATGACAAAATATTAACAGATGTATACAATGTAACAAAAGAGAAATACATTCTTATATTCTTCTTATCATGATATTCATTGTAAAGTGATTGACTCAATTGTGCCAAGCTGCATCAAAGTGATCCCTCTCTTGCTAGCTGCGTCATAATAATTCTTCTCTAACCCACTGCATCAAAGTGATCCTTCTCTGTCCATCAAAGTGATCTCTTTCTTGCTAGCTGCGTCAAAGTGATTCCTCTCTGGTCAGCTACGTCATTATAATCCTTCTCTAACCAACTGCATCAAAGTGATCCTTCTCTGTCCAGCTCCATCAAAGTGATCCCTCTCTGGCTAGCTGTGTCAAAGTGATCCCTCTCTGGCTAGCTGTGTCAAAGTGATCCCTCTCTGGCTAGCTGTGTCAAAGTGATCCCTCTCTTGCTAGCTGCGTCAAAGTGATCTCTCTCTAGCAGGCTGCGTCTAATGGTGGCCATACACTCTACAACCATCGCAAGACTTTAGTCTTGCGATGGTTGTAAAGGGATTAAAAAAACGCACGATCTGCCTATCTTGGACAGGCAGATCGCACTCTCCATCATCGCAAGCCCGCCCCCCTGAGGGGCGGGCTTCCGATGACCGCAATGCTGAACGGGCAGTGTGCGCGTGCGCACACCGGCCCGTTCAGCATTTGTCTTCCGAGCACCGTTCTAACCAGCCGAGAATCGTACGATTCCCGGCAGGTTTTCGAACATGCTGGTTCGACGGAAGACGTGCGACCGTACAGTAGAAACGGTCGCACGTCTCCGTTCACACTGCTCGATTCTCGTACGAACGCGGGATTTCCCGCCATTCTCGTACGAGAATCGAGCAGTGTATGGGCACCTTTTGTGATCTCTCTCTCTCTGGCCTGCTCCATCAAAGTGATCCCTTTCTGTCCAGCTGTGTCAAAGTGATCCCTCTCTGGCCAGCTGCGTCATAGTGATCCCTCTCTGGCCATCCTCATCATAGTGATCTCTCTCTGGCCATCTGTGTCATAGTGATCCCTCTCTGGCCATCTGCGTCATAGTGATCCCTCTCTCGCCATCTGCGTCATAGTGATCCCTCTCTGGCCATCTTCATCATAGTGATCCCTCTCTGGCCATCTGCGTCATAGTGATCCCTCTCTCGCCATCTGCGTCATAGTGATCCCTCTCTGGCCATCTACGTCAAAGTGATCTCTCTCTGGCCAGCTACCTCAAAGTGATCCCTCTCTGGCCAGCTACCTCAAAGTGATCCCTCTCTGGCCAGCTGCATTAAAGTGATCTGTCTTTGGCTAGCTACGTCAAAGTGATCTCTCTCTGGCCAGCTACCTCAAAGTGATCTCTCTCTGGCCAGCTCCATCAAAGTGATCTCTCTCTGGCCAGCTCCATCAAAGTGATCTCTCTGGCCAGCTGCATTAAAGTGATCCGTCTTTGGTTAGCTGTGTCAAAGTGATCTCTCCTTGGCCTCTCTCTAGTCTACTGGGCAAAGTGCCAATATCAACATGCTTATAGCATTGTGTAATGGAGATTTGGTACCAATATGGGGCAAAACTCTTCAGGTGCTAATGGAGTGTTATCACTCAAAACTCTGCACACTATGTACCCAGAGCCTCCGGTCTGTACCTGACATCACTTCATGGCTGTAAGTGACATCACTTCCTGTCAGTATTCCATAGCGACGTTCCGTCTGGGTGTAGGTGAGAACACCAACTTGTGAACTTCAGAGGAACCGCCGCCCCCGAGAACCGTCTCGTAGTTGTGAACACGGCCTCGTCATTGTTACCGAGTGTCCCGGAATCTGGAGGACAGTCCCGGGATTTGGGATCCTGTCCCAGTGTGTCCTCATCCTGCAGGATCCAGGGTGATGTGCAGACGGGCAGCGAGTTGCTGATGGCTGGAACATTCTCCGGGTCTCGGGACCAGTTTCTGCAATGATGCCAGACTGTCGGGTGGAGGGATCTCCTTTGTGACGGTGAAAGTAAAACTCTGACATCAGCAGAGAGACCGCGACGCCGGAGAGTGTGATCAGGTAAGTAGAGTCACCAATGATGGGACTAAAATATAATTCCACCCGGAATTCCACCATCACAAGATCATCAGATGACATCTACCATAGAGGAACACCCCTCCATCTTTTCTATGTACCATGTCCCTCTAAACCAGAGGATCAGCATGACTACAAGCAGCCCGGACGTGAGTGGAGTTGAGCAGAGTTCCTGTAAGGTCTTGTACAGATGGGCGGCAGGCTGTGGCGACTCTGGGAATAATAAATAGGGGGCACATAAGATACCACAGTCAAAACTGGGGGGGCACTAATAATTGCGCCAGCTATAGAGCACTACAAATCCCAGCAATACATTATACAGCAATGCAGAATACCACCAGCTACAGATGACTACAAATTCCAGCAATACATTATACAGCAATGCAGAATACCACTAGCTACAGAGGACTACAAATCCCAGCAATACATTATACAACAATGCAAAGTACCACCAACTACAGAGGACTACGAATCTCAGCAATACGTTATACAGCAATGCAAAGTGCAACCATTTAATATCTCAGCAATACATTATACAGCAATGCAAAATACCACCAATTACAGAGGACTACAAATCTCAGCAATACATTATACAGCAATGCAGAATACCACCTGTGTCCACTGCCCCTCTAAGGCTCTCCCACTGCCACTGTGCCACCTCTCTCATTTCCCACTGCCACTGTGCCACCTCTCCCACTGTGCCACCTCTCTCATATGAATGCAGCTGCTAGACTCATGCACCTAACCAACCACTCAGTGTCTGCAACCCCCCTCTGCCAATCCCTACACTGGCTTCCTATAGCTCAAAGGATAAAATTCAAAAAATTAACAACCGCGTACAAAGCCGTCCACAACTCTAGCCCCGGCTATATCTCAAAGTATCACCCTAAGAGTCCCCTCCGCTCTTCACAAGACCTCCTGCTTTCCAGCTCCCTAGTCAACTCCTCCCATGCTCGCCTCCAGGACTTCACTAGAGTCTCTCCCATCCTCTGGAACTCTCTACCCCAACCTGTCCGTCTATCTCCCACACTGACTGCCTTTAGGCGATCCCTTAAGACTCAACTCTTCAGGGAAGCCGATCCCACCTCAACCTGACCACTGAACCATTCATCCCCACACAGCTACCTCATCATGTATCACTTGCCCCTCCCTTTTAGATTGTAAGCCCTCACGGGCAGGGCCCTCCTTACCATCTTGTCTTATCTTGTATTGTGACTGTAATGTCTTCCTTATATTGTAAAGCGCTGGGCAAACTATTGGCGCTATATAGATCCTGTATAATAATAATTTCCCACTGCCACCTCTTTTCACTGCATTGTCCACTCCGGCTCCCCCTCCTGGCTCTTCCACTACCACCTCTGTGTCCACTGACCCCCCTCTGGTTCTTTCACTACCACTGTGCCACTCTCTCCTCTGACACCTCTATGTCCACTGCCACCGCCATGTAAGTTACACGGATATATCAGTAAAATCTGTATTGCATTTACACAGCATATCACTGAACACTTGCTGCAAGTTATACTGAATACAGCTCGCAGCAAGTGTTTAGTGACACAGCAATAATTATAAAATGAATCTTTTTTTTTTTTTACACTGTGTTAATAAAAGCTGCTTTGTTTTATACTTTATTAGT